AACTTGGCTCACCGCACGTACTAATCTCTCTTTAATTCTGCTTTGTCGCGTGACTCAATGAAGATGCTACAGACGAGCAAATTCACAAGACTTCGATTAGATTGGGATCATTCAGGTCAGGTCATTCTTGTTATTTATTCTTCTTCTGATCTCTATTCGAAGCTTCTTTGGTTGCACAACTGGAATACAGTGGAACACGGAGGCTATAGACGATTTTCGTCTTACAGAAACTTGAAACTGAAAGAAATCTGCCCCAAAATCTGGACAATGTCTCGAGTTACGGAAACTTTTCCAATATTTCTAGAGAAAAAATGTGAAGAAATTATTTTTTCTACATTTTGATGACTCTTGAACAAATTGAGCTATTTATATTCACAAATTTTGAAAATTGATTCAATCATAAATTTACTCTGATCCATGATCAAAAAGATGAGAACTTTGTGCTCCTTTTTTCCCCAGACTTTTGTCTTCATTTGTGCACAGTATAGCTTGACTTGTTCTTGTTCTTTGTACCATGAGCTCCCACTGACGCCAAAAGATCAGATTTTGATCTTATTTATTTTTTAGATTTTGAGTGGTTTTCATCTGGACGATTATTTTTGATTTCTTTAAGTTGAGAAAAATTTGTATTCAATTTTTGGGGAATTTATTTTTAATTTTTGATGAACAGGAGAAGGAATTGAACATGTACCCATTGAAGTCCAGGAGAAAGTTTGATCCGACATAGGGACGAGGTCCAAGCATCAATTACGTCCGCATCTCGGGGTCACACTTGTACCTTAATTTTTTTACTGAATGTACTGACTGTGAGACCCCAAGATGCGGACGTAATTGGTGCATCAAGAGTGTTCCTAAGTCAAAATGTCTCTAAGTCGAGTCTCATTTTCCCTTAGACTTACATTATATAATTTTCTGGAGTTAATTTTTTAAAATTAGCTAAATGGATGGTAAATTGGTGAGATAAATGCCCAAGAACTTTTCTCACATCAATTTTAGGGTTGGAAATATCTGTTTCTTTTAATTTGGCCTGAAATGTATTTGCAATTTTTTCGCAAAATGTCCCTATGTCAAGTCAGTGTCCTCATGTCAGGCCTTTTTTATTAATTTGTTATGGGAAAATAAGTGTCCCTATGTTGAATTGTCCGCAGGTCGAGGTGTCCGCATGTGGGGGGTCTCACTGATTTGAAAAGTTAAAATCCCGTGATTACATCACACCATCATCTCCAATAATAAGCGCTGCTCCGAAATCAGTTTCACGTCCACGCTTCTCAAATATTGACATGAAGACGTCAATTGCGTTTCATTTCGTGTTTGTCAGTGCAAGGCTGATCCATTGTCAAAAAAAAAAATGCAACCTCCACCCGCTCTGCAAATTGCGCAAGGTTTTTTGCGACCTTGGCGCATGGAACATGAATCGCACCAATTTCATCCCATCGTGAATTTGTCCTACTATTTTATTTTCTCCCCTCGATCGGTTTAAATTTTTCTTGAAATATCTTGTGCTTCGCGTTGCCTTTGATAAAAGATGATGTTACCGGAGGGAGAATTTTTACGATCGAACGGGATCCCAGACCGCGAAGCAGGAAATCTGTCTCTCAATGCATCAGTGTACTGTAATGCTTCGTCTCAGACGAGGTTTATTCTCAGTGATTTTCAGCTCGCTTGTGTATTGTGCTTGGGTCCCGTTTCATTCCTTTCCTCGATCGAGTCTTCGTGTATGCCAATCGCTTTGATGGGCTGCATGGGTAACGCAAAAAAGAAATAAAAAAATAATGAATAAAATGTGTTAGCCGCTGCATGGGTCTTTTTCAATCTTGTTGCGACCTTGGCGAAGTTGCGGTCTTCGTCGCCATTTTGCTTTTGCAGAGGAAATTTCGCTCGACTTGGTTCGTCGCTTTTAATCTCTGGTGTTAAGTTGTGGTCTGTTAGCGTGACGCAATCATGGATGAGTATAGGTAATCACGCGGGTACTGTGTTTAGCTTTTCATGCGATGATGAGATTTGTACCTGGCCTGAATAGAGATGAGTCTCACGAAATGAGAGAGATAAAGAGAGAAATGAATAACGTGAAGCGAAGAGATGGGAAATGTGACTCCGAGAAACTGTGAGATGTCAGGAAATTGACTGAATTTCATGAAAGATGCGAAGAATTTTGCCGTATTCAGGCGAATATGGAAGAGGACTCCGCGCTCAAAAATAATTAGTCCAAAAAATGATGAGCTAAGGTATGGATGATAAATACCTCGCCAATTTACCAATAGAAATTTCTGTACAATACAGTCGAACCCCTCCAAGTCGAATTTCAAGGAAGCAGCAAAAAAATCGAGTTAAGGAGGTTTCCAGTTAGGGAAACAGGCATATTTTTGTTGTGGGAAAGATAGAAAATATCAGGAAATTGTAAATGGTGAAATTATGGGTCTTCAATTGCCTCTTAAATAAACCTGGACGCAATGATTCTTGCACCTCCTTTCAAAACCCATCAAGTTACTTTTTTATTATTGCTATTCTCTTTCTTGCATCAATAAAATAATGGCCAATTGGCCACAGAAAATTCAATTTATGGAGGTTTGTGAGGAAAAGCCTTTGAGTTAAGAAGGTTTTAAATGAATATTTTCTAAGGGAATATAGACGGGGACTTGAAAAAAAAAATTCGACTTAGAGAGGTCCAAGTTATAGAGGTTCACCCAAAATCTATATCTGATCACTTCTTATGCGTGCCCTTTTATTCTGTTCGCCACTCGCACAAAAGCGACGCAAACACCTCTGGGTCTTTTCCATTCTGCACCTGTGAACAGACTGCGAAAAAACCTCTTTTGAAGGGGCGTCGAGTACATCAGGGACATTTTCTCTTTGATTCCTTTTTTTGAGCCTCCCATTACGTTTTTCCCGGGACTTTTTTTTTTGCCGCGGTTCCCTTTTTGTTCAAGAAATATTCCATCGAGAAGCGTGATGTATCTTAAACTTTAATACCGCGCACTCCAGCTGGAAAAGGTCATTTGTGGGATGGAACCCACTGGGTTCAGGGTAGATCGAACAACCATTTCGCAATCTTCGTTTGTACAGTAATGCTGATATCGCCTTTGACTGAAGTTATTCCGATTATGCCGCTTGGTGCACAAAAACTGCCTTGAAAATGATGCACTCAAGAAAGAAAAGGTTGAAAATACTGTACTTGCTTCGGTATTTCATGATTTAAGAGAAATACGATATAAATTGTTCAAAATTGTGCATACTCCACGATACACTTTTAATTTTCCTGGCTATCGACCGATCAAAAAAAAAGAGCAACATTCCCGTCAAAAAAATGTGCCTCAACAGGTTAAGCAAATTTAAAAATTATCCATTCAATTATAATTCCTTGGTAATCACAATAGGAAGATGTCGACCTCGAACAAAAAAAAAAAGAACTTGAGGGGCACAATTAAACATTTTCCCGTTAAGGGGCTGCTTTGATTCCTCAGAACGAATTAAAAAATTTTCGCATTGTGAATGCATCTTGGCCAATCGTGAGCATGAATGAATGGAATTCCTCTCCGTACTTCATCTTTTGTGTGCTGTGTATGCTGTGTGGTGAGGCATGACGAGTTGTTTCCTTTACGGTAATTCTCGCGGGAGGGAACCCGGAAGATATTGGAATAATCGCGCTTCGCAAAGCGAGTTGACGCGTTAATTGCGGTCTTTTCGCGGGATCGATCGGTGGCCTGAGGGGATTCTCTGCAGCTTATATAATGATGGCGGGAAGAGAAGAAAAAAGTGAATTCCGGGTGGCCTCGCATCCTTCCGCGTTATGTATGAATCGGGATAATAACAAGAGACGAGGGGGGGGGGGGCTGATGTCGAAGTGTTGGGTGTTTCACGGCTAGCCATGAACTTTCGGTGTCAGACGTGACTATGCGAATCCGGGTTGTGTTGGACGATCGCGTGCGTGACTGGACATGGGGGTTTTTTTTTTTTAATATTGTGTGCATGGGAAAGACGTTTGTTATCCTTCCTTGCCTGACATTAAAATACTGTACTTGGGTACGCAGAGGGTTAACTGACGCCTTGGCCTCGCAAAACAAGTTTTTTCGCGCCATCATGGACTCGCATTGCCACTGATTTTTGTTGTTGTTGCTGTCAATAGCGTGTATCATCTGACCCCGCGAGACCGATGATCATTTTTTTTTAAGGAAATGGAAGTTGTTGTGGCACATCTGCTGGAGGTCAGTTTTGTATCACCCCCGAAATGAAGAAATTTTCGTGATATTCCTCCGTCGTCGTTGTATGTCTCAATCGGATTTAGAATTGGTTCGAATCTGAAATAATTTAATTATTTGAAAATTTCGAATGCGTGATTTAAATCGCTGTAAATTTCTTTGGAGGCTTATTGATGATCAAGTGTAGTATTCTACTATTGTCCGTTCAATTGTTTCACTATTGTTTGTCGTCTGATGAATAGAAGCCATCATGGGAAAGAAGAAAATAATTTTCAAAATGAAAAGATGGTTTTATCCAATGCAGGGAACAGGTTAGCCATTGCCAATTTTAAAACGCCTAATCCAGAACATATGAAAATTCTTGCTTGAATGCTTCCCAAGACAGATTTGGGAACTTCCCAAAGGTCACGTACGAAAATTTTCAATAATTATGCAAGAAAAGTATTTTTTATCAATTAACCTGCTCAAATCATGCCACGTTCTCTAACTTGAAAATCCCCTCACGTCAATTTTTTTTTTAATCTCATTAAATTCAAATTGGAGGTAAAACTCTTTGTTGGGTAACCTTACTTGCACACAAAGGCTTATCATACGCATCTTGGTTTTCCTAAGGTTGCTTTTTGCAAATTACGCAAGTTTATGCAGGACAGAATTTTGCAAGCCGCACACCGTAATATTTCTGTGCTTAGAAAAAAAACGAAGGCTCATCTGATGTTTATGACGTGCTGCTCGTGGTTTTCTTGAAATGCGCGAAAAATGGTCATAAAAACTGGAATGCGTTTCAGGTCAAATAAAAGCAAAGGACATGATTCAGCAAAGTTTATTCCAATTTGAATTGCTCAAACAATTCAGCATCTCTCCCGATCAGCAACGTGAAGCTGGGATGAGAGGATCGGGACGCTTTTTCAGACGATCAATTGCAAAGTTGGTCAAAAGAAAATGGGGCTGTTGACTGATGGCTTGCTTATTGCATCGTAACACATGTCTTCAAAAAATTGTATCCACTCGGCATCTCGCTGTTTGCTCTCCAGCAAACGCGCGCAGACTGGAGTGAATCTTTCTTGCCCCTTTCATTAACCATCAAAGTTCTCAGGTATGCTTCCATAGACCCACGCCTCACAAAAATCCGCGTCGTTCACCCTCACTTCTTCCAAACCCAAGTCGCAAGAGAAAATACAGACCCTCTCAAAATCAAAAAAAAAAAAGAAATCGAATGCATCACATGTGAGGTCTACGGCAAAGTTTTCAACGGAAAAATCGACCGGTATCTCTTCTTCTTTCACCGATTTGCTATTTAAAATATAACCGGCACTCTCCTTCCCCCCCCGACAGCGATTTCTCGGTAAAAACTTAGGGATCTCATCTAATTTCAATTGACATTTCAGTCCAGGAAAAAAACACACTTGGGAATTTGAAGAACGTCCTTCCGCTCGCAGCATTTGCACAAGAACGAAAACAAAGCTTAACTGATTCACAACAAAACACAACAGTTTGAGAAAAAGAAAGCATTTCGCAACGCAAAGATCATCTCAGAATATTCTCGGAATGTGCGGTGATCATCCTAAGAGGGGTTTTCATCCTCTTCCTTCTTACTTCGAATACTCATCAGTGGAAGACACAATCTCGCAAGACAGAAAAACAAAGAGAGCTTGAATAAAAAAAAACACAACTTCACGAATAATTACGCGCAGTCATAATGTAAAAACGACTTCACACATTTTCACATCGTCCAAGCGGATGCAAAAAAAAAGAAATAAAAAGAAAATGGAAGGAACCCGGTGACTCCAAAAATATCCCTAAACTTCTGCTTTGGTATTTTGAGTTAGGTAACGACAATTATCATTTTCTAAACAAGCCTTTCTGATCCAAGGGGAAACAAATCTCGGTGACTTTTTTTCTTCTGGACAATGATCAGCTGATTTCCTATTCTTCAGATTGAATAACGGATCACAGCATTGTTCTTCTAAAATATTTTTGCTCCTGTCAAGCTTGAAACAACTAGATAAAATCTGATTCAACTGCCTGCATTGAAAATATAACATTTCCTACGCAACTTCTTCCCACGAAAAAAAAAAACCAGGAAAACATTTTTTCTGGGTGGAGATCTCTTCCACACCCAAATTTCATCAAAAAATTACGACTGCCTCACATTTAATATCTCTTTAAAGCCTCGCCTGCTGTCTCCAATCCGACTTGCCCCTCTCTGCGTGCGTTGGTGTGCCAGAAATACCACACACGCAAACACATACATTCAACAACAAAAAAAAGAAAAGCTGAACATCCAGAATCGCCACGACTGCCATCAGATGGCAGTAACTTAATTTAGCCCATCCGCAGATGACGAAGATGACGCATTTGATGACGTCGATGACACTGACGAGGAACGGAAAGCCGGGCTTTTCACTGACACGTCGCCGTCGTCCAGATACCCGTCAGCCACCTTCAGTCGCAAGTCCTCCGCGTCATCCTCGGACAAGCTGCTTAAGCTCCGCTTCGATTCCTTACACGAGCCCTGAATTGGAATCACACAAACGAAAAATCAAGTTAGTTTGTCTCTTGTACTGTAGTATTTTTTTTTTGAGGTCATGATAAGATAAGATCAACTCTAAGACGCAGCTGAACAATGCATATATACAGTAATTACGTCCAAATGAAAGGGGAATTTTGGACAAGTCTAAAATGCACTTCAAGCTCATTATCTTATGCCATGCGCTAAACGGTTCAACAGTTTTGTCAGTACTTTATAGAAGTGCTTTCAGTGTCAAAATTTATGAGTCAGAATCCACCAATAAAACCAATGCAAGGAATGTAAAGCTTAATTTTTTAAATAAATGGTTTCCATTGAGCTCTGGCTCATTCTAATGTTTACTCCCCACTTAAGATTTCTGCATTGAAAAAAATGAAATCTGTAGCAGCAAAACATTTTCATTGAAACATAGTCATCAGATCAGGGATAAAATCACCAAGAAGATCTTCCAATTTTTTGAAAAAGAGTGAAATGATCTTCCCAGTGTAATAATTCTTAAAACGTTGAAGCACTAGTGAACCCCTTTTTTTACGATGCTTGGGTACTCTTAAAAATGTTTTTAATTTCTGAATTTCAACTTACACACTGCTAAGAAACTAACTCTATAAGTTAAAAATGATGCCCATCAAATTTCCTCATTCAGCAAGACTGGTAAAAAGAAAGCAAAGAGTGACATAAACCTTTCAGCTTCTGATGAACCATAAAAAAAATTAGAAATGCAATCATTACAGTGAACAAAATAAGTTCTCAGAAAAGCTGGCATTCTCAATTCGTACAAAATATTATCCTGTAATTCTATAAAACCCTGCTCTTGGGAAGACCATGCATTTGTATGTGAAAAAAATGCGTCTTATATTTACATGAATACTGTACACTAGTTACCTTCAGTAAGAGGATATAAGGCACTTAGAATGCATCAGATTGATCTTACTTTGCAGAAGCTGGTACGGAATACACTACAATCTGACTGCTGATGATACGCAGTACATCAATCAAAAATTATGCCCTGGACCAAGCTACACAAGATGATACAAACAAAAAACTGAACTTGGAATGATGTACAGTACAACCAACACCAACATGCGGTAAATGACTTGGTAACCTGGCACCATTTTGACACGATCACAGGCAGCTGCAGATTTGGCTTGATGCTTACTCAAAATGCAGTTTTTTTTTCAAAATCAATAATGCCATATTATTGACTGATGTCAGGCCACAGTGCGAGGGTATTTTCGAAAAAAATACAAAATAAAAGGAATTTGGACTGCCTTGAAGTTGACATGAAACTCCAGAAATTTCAGGCTGTGAAACATTTCTGCCATTTTACATCATCCATAAATCCAGTTGAAAAAATAATAAAATTGTTTTTATAGCGTTCTTTGTTGTGGCTTTTTAGCTGCTTCCCTTCATCAAGTATTTTTACATCTGAAGAAGGCTGAAAAATACTTGAACTGCCTTGAAGCAAATGGCAAAGCCCTTTCATTTCAAACTTTTAAATGATTTTTCAGCCATTTTACTTCCCTTCTGAAGTTCATAAATCCAGTTAGAAAAAAAGTACCACGAGTCCCTTTTATAATCTTCCAGCTACTTGTTACGAGCGATTGTTTTTTATTTTAAATATTTTCAAAGAAATTTCTCCTTGAAACTTTCATCAATTGGCAGAGACTTTTGGAAAATCCTGCTGCTCAGTAGGATTGAAATTGAAAACGGGATTTAAAGAAAATTACAAAATGGGGTTTGAGCCGGGATTTGAATGTTTGACAGAGCGCTTATGCATTCAGTCATTGAGAATATTTTTTTCAATAGCTTTTTTGCATCTTTCCTTGGGAGTCTGAGGACATTTGAAAAGACCCTCGCACAAGTCTGGAAATCTGCAGGTTCCAACGAGCAATGCTTCACATAAATAATTAAGGGTATCCATACATAGAGCACGTAAAATATATCATGAAAGCACGAGTGAAAGATCCACAGTACCTGGGAGCGTCCCACAGCCGAGCCACATAATTTGAATTTTACTTAATCCGATATCTGCAGAAGATGCGGCCGCAGAAGAAGCCAGTGAGGAAAACAAGCAGAAAGAACCAGCAAACCAGAGCATGGGAGTGAGAGTAGGCAGCAAGGCAGAAGAAACAGGAAGGAGGGGAAAACGGAATCAACGTGAATATGTATTTTGCCAAAAAAAAAAATGTCATAGAGTGCGGCTACAGCCAAAAGAAAAAAAAAGAAAGGACGCCTTTTTGTATTATAACTATAAAGCTCTCAAAAATACCTTCTTCCAGTCTACGCGTGAAACCTCACCCCAAATGTATGTACTGCACTTATATATATATATACAGTATACAGTATATATATTTTTTCTATCATAAAACCCTCCACATGAGTTACCCTAGAATTCACAGAACACAAAAAGAGCGATTGTAAAATGTTACCTCTTTGCTCAATTCCGTCAGCGCATCACAGGTTCCCCCAATGTGCTTCCTTGACCCTCGGGAAATTTCACCCTCCACAACCAGTTCTTGATTCTGGGGGGAAAGAAAATGAAAGATTCATTGAATACTGCATATTAANCTCCACATGAGTTACCCTAGAATTCACAGAACACAAAAAGAGCGATTGTAAAATGTTACCTCTTTGCTCAATTCCGTCAGCGCATCACAGGTTCCCCCAATGTGCTTCCTTGACCCTCGGGAAATTTCACCCTCCACAACCAGTTCTTGATTCTGGGGGGAAAGAAAATGAAAGATTCATTGAATACTGCATATTAAGCACGAAATACACGGTGGTTTAACAAAAAATCGACCGATTTTCAAGCAACGATATGATATTTTGAAAACTGCAGCAGCCGGAATTCAGACTCGAATGCGAGTTCAATTTAATTGCTTTTGAACCAGCGTTTTTTTTTTCTTCAAATTGTATCAGCTATATTATCGTTGCAATGATCATGCAAAACGAATTAAATTTGTCCAATACGATGATCGCAAAAAAGCTTAACTTTGATCTGAAATAAATTTTACATCTACAGCCTCGAAACAGAGTATTTTCCTCATATTTTCTGACTTCTTCTAATTTTCTTTTCTTGATTTTTCCTTGATTTCTTCAATTTTTGCAATCAGATCAACAGATTATCATGGCCATTTAAAAAAAATGGAGGCATACATTTTGAGAATTTAATTTTCAAGCAATAGCCAAAGTAGGCAAAAAGATCTTCACAAATCAGCTAAAATATTCTATTTCAGATAAAGTTTCAAATTTAAAAATGGCTAAAAATGCATTACTTTCAATTCAAAGTCACCCGAAGTTAATGTGACAAATATACTGTATGGTACTCCATTTTGTAGAGCATGCGAATCAAATACGTTATCAGTTTTCAGCATCTAAAACACAATCCAATTATTATTTTTTTTTTGCGAATAGGAACAGATGGTGAAGAATGTGAGAATAACACTGAACAACTATCGATGTACCAATAAACAAAATTTAATAGACACTGAGTGTCTGGTCCTGCATCCAAAAGTGAAGCAACAAACCTTGAATTCCAATGAAGAGATCTTGTGAGTGAGTTCGGCGACGCATTGCGATTTCTCTGCATCACGTATTCTCACCATCATCAGCTCTTCTTTCATCTGCGAGAGACGAATAATGAACCCCATGAGTCAGGGAATTTTCTCAAAAAGGGGCTTCGCAATACAATGTATATATTCTATATATATGTAGCGAGCAGTAATATCACACAAATGGTAAGCTGTGTTACCTTGCTTTCAAGATCAGCGTACTTCCGCTCCTGGTCTTTCACTTGACCCTCCAGAGTCCGGACGCGAGTCTGGGCTTCATAAAGCTCGTCCTTGTGCTTGTCCAGCTCATCCTCAGCCCGACGCACTTGATTGCAAGACACCTGAGTCTGTAAAATATATAAAGGACACACACATCATTATTATTAGTTTTATTTATTCAAGTCAGTGTCCCTGGAAATCGAATCAGAAACACGGAATTCGTCTCTTCGACTGAACATAATTACTTCAGATGCATGCAAATTTTTGGTATTCAGCTAGAATGAAGCAAAATTAACGGGATACAGCATTATCATTTTTCTGTACGATGAATACTTTTAAAATTGAATTCAAGATGTATGGAGCTCCAACACAAAAACATCCAAGCTTATTTCTCTAAAATTATTGTCACAAATTTCAAAAGAAGATGAATTTTTTTAAATTGTTGTCTGTACGATGAATACTTTTAAAATTGAATTCAAGATGTATGGAGCTCCAACACAAAAACATCCAAGCTTATTTCTCTAAAATTATTGTCACAAATTTCAAAAGAAGATGAATTTTTTTAAATTGTTGTAATACAAAAGCTGGCATTGTTACGGCACTCGTACAATCTAAGCTTTTCGTTTGCATACTCACGGCCATTATTTTTTTGCTTTAGGAACTTGAAACAAACATTTTCCCAGTTAAAAGATCCCGAGTATGATTTATTGAGCATTCATTTTAGCTTGATGTACTTCTTTCCCTCTCATCATAAACAGAAAGCGTTGATGAAATGCTGATTCAAAAACGGAATTTAAGCTGCCATGGACAAACAGTTTTTTTTTTATTACTCAAACTACGCATTAATTTTTTTGTGCATATTGGGGTTTGGAACCATGATAGGGATGAAAAATATAGGTTGGATGCAACTTTGCAGCATTAAAAAATTCATGAATTTGATCTAGGATCATCAAAACGTCAATTCTCGATGAGCAGTTGAAATTCAGGACACCAAGAAAAACAAACGGCTGCCATTTTTCTAGAGCCTTTTCCCTTTGATTGAGTCATCTGCATCTGTGCAAAATCCACTTTTCTCAGACATCCAATTTACATTCTTTTTTTGGGCTTCTCGTATACTTTCAAGGCATATTTTTCCCTTCAAAAAAAAAAATCAGCAGAAATGTGTGAGCCCTCAGAAAATTATCTTTGATTTTTGACACTGGTCGACTATTTGGCTCCATAAATTGCCTTTTTTGAATGTTCTTTCTGTAATACAGTTTAGGAGGTTTTCTGTACGATGAATACTTTTAAAATTGAATTCAAGATGTATGGAGCTCCAACACAAAAACATCCAAGCTTATTTCTCTAAAATTATTGTCACAAATTTCAAAAGAAGATGAATTTTTTTAAATTGTTGCAATACAAAAGCTGGCATTTTTACGGCACTCGTACAATCTAAGCTTTTCGTTTGCATACTCACGGCCATTATTCTTTTGCTTTAGGAACTTGAAACAAACATTTTCCCAGTTAAAAGATCCCGAGTATGACTCATTAAGCATTCATTTTAGCTTGATGTACTTTTTTTCCCCTCTCAACACAAACAGAAAGCGTTGATGAAATGCTGATTCAAAAACGGAATTGAAGCTGCCATGGACAAACAGTTTTTTTTTTTATTACTCGAACTATGCATTAATTTTTTTGTGCATATTGGGGTTTGGAACCATGATAGGAATGAAAAATATAGGTTGGATGCAAATTTTCAGCATTGAAAAAATTCCGGAATTCGATCTGGGATCATCAAAACGTCAATTCTCGATGAGCAGTTGAAATATAGAACACCAAGAAAAACAAACGGCTGCCATTTTTCTAGAGCCTTTTCCATTTGATTGAGTCATCTGCATCTGTGCAAAATCCACTTTTCTCAGACATCCAATTTACATTCTTTTTTTGGGCTTCTCGTCAACTTTCAAGGCATATTTTTCCCTTTTTTTTTTTAGTCGTCTTTACACACTCGGGAGTCTTTTAATAGAAACTAAAAACTGTGACCAGCTGATAAACCGAGGTATTTAACGGAAAAAACTTACAAGAAAGACATTATGTCAAATCCTCCAAATGTCAATCGGAGGTTTAAAAAGAGAGCATCAGTCAAGAGAAAAAGTTTTTGGAGAAGTCTGCACAAATTAATGAAAATACCATCAAAATCGCACAGAAATCCTGGCACGATCGGAATGCAACTACTGCACTGTACAGGATACAGAGAGACTATACAAGAACGAACGTGTATTGAAGAAAATCCATCCGGAAAAAAAAATTAAAAAAAACGAGACGAGAAAAGTTGCGAGCGAATTCCCACCTGTGCTTCAAGCTCCATGATGCGCTGCTTGAGGAAAGCAGCTTCCGCCTCGGATTCGGTTTCCTGGATTCTGTGAGCCAGGAGTTCTTCCTCCAGGTTCCGCAGCTCGTTTCTCGCAGCTGAGCCGTCGCCAAAGAGAGAACCCACGATTTTCTTTGCCGGGGTGCTCTGCTCTGATCCCGTGCCATTCTTGGCCCGATGCGCTTGGGAGTCCTATTAAAAAAAAAAGAGCGAGAGAGAGAGAGAGAAAAAAGATGAGACATCGCATTGAGGCAAGGGATTTCTAAGCGACCTTATTTCGTGCCATTTTGTATATATACATATCTCCTGTCCTAGAATCTATATACCCGTGAGACATACAGTGAAATACAATGAATGACGCTATACTGTATGACCAAACTTGGAGCCCTTCAACTGTACACAGCAGTTATTTTTCCATGTTTCCAAAACAAAAATAAACATGATGGCGAAAAAATATGCCGACGAAAAGCTAAAGTTAAATTCCACGAGTCATATATCAATATACGGTACAATAGTTCCTTGCATTGACACTGGATTCATGCCATTAAAAGTCTTCTTTATTAAAATTTTCTCGAATATCCTAAGCGCTAAAATAAGACCAAACTTGGAAGCCTTTAACTGTACAGCAATGATTTTTTTCCGTCATATTTCTAAAAGAAAAACGTAAAATGATGCCATAAATTTGCAGACGAAAAGCTGCAGTTAAATTCCAAGAGTCCCGCATCAGTCTAGTTTTTTTTTTTTTTTTGCATATCGACACAGCATCCATGCGATTAAAAGCCATCTTTATTAGAATTTTCTCAAATATATTAACCTTTATTCTCCTTTTGCATCTATTATTTGCTGATGAGGGAAAAATCGAAATATTGTACGAATATGACTGAATTTGATGCACTTTAAAATTTACACACATTGCGTAATGCACAATAAAAGTCAAAATTACGCTAAATTCTGTCGTCAGACTTTTTCCTGAAGTATTTCAAGGTGCCACGAGCTAAATCTGAAGAAGATAATGTTGCATGCGAGGAATACTGTGCAAAAAAGATCGATTTTAATAAAGCCTTGCTAAAATTTTCAATTATGAGGAGGAGAGATACAGTATATTACATCAACTAAAGCAACACCGCTACACTGTTTGTTGCATGTGAAATATTCCATTCCACTCTCGACAAAAACCATTCGTCGCAGGAGGAAATCATTACCCAACAACGCCCCAACAATTAATCACAACCCGACGCAGCAAGATTCAGCTTACTTGTACGAATTTCTCGAATTCTTGGCGCAGGTCTGCGAGACGCTGACGAAGCACCGTGTTCTCGTGCTTTTGTTCGCCTTCCCGGAGCTTGACAGCAATCAGCTCTTCTTGCATGTTCGCCACCGAATGATCCGGAGTTGATTCTCGAAGTTGTTTCTTGTCCTGTGTGTGTGTTTGTAAAATTAAAATTAAACGATCGTTGCTCGAGTCGTGCCTCCATCATTAATGGACTTTCCAGGGGAAAATACAAATTACAATTCTCTCAACTGAGCACTGTAATTTGAAACGACGTGCGAAGACTAATTAATCGGTTTCAGGCGACTCTCACGACCCTTGACTGAGTCATGTTGAGCAATATGAAACAGTGAATCCACTTGAGATCCCTTAAAATTCCTCTTTTTTTTTAAATAAATTTTCCGATAAATACGGGGATTTGACAATAAATTTCATTAAAGTATAAATACTGTACTTGAAAACGAAGAAACGATCTCATGCAAATCAAAAGTTTGACTGGCAGCCACAGGTAAAACTGCAGTTGAGGTTTTTTCGAAGCAAAAATATTCACGAAGTATTTTGATCGAAGCAAGGATCCATTATCTTAATAAAAAAATTGATATTATTTCGAATCCCCGGAGCTAAAAATTCATCATGCGAGGATGTCCATTATCCGGGATACGCATCGTACTTGATCGTTAAGACTGCAGTGATAATTACCAAGTAAGATGACTAATTTTAAATATTGTGCAACATCGAACATCCTGCGTCGTTCAGCTTTCATTTATTTGAAGATGTGTACAGGAAGTCAATGCTCTTTGATACGCATGATCACTATTATACAGTAAATGACAAATTTTCACGAGACGCACAGCAGAAGTCAGGACACATATCTTCTGAAATTTTCCATTAAATTTAGGGTATACATTTGTCTGAAGCAATGCATAAAAACCATCAAGGCCCGCTTTGTGCTGTACGTTGATAATTTCCTTTTCAAATACGTACTGTACAGTATAAGAAGTCAATGTGATCAGACACGTGTAATCACAACACGGAAATTTCACGACGCAAGAACTTTACTTCTAAACTTTTCCAATAAATTCAGTCTAAGAATTCGTCTGAAGGAATGAGTATGCATAGAAACTTTTAACCCTCGCTTCGTGCTGCAAGTTGATATTCACCTTTCAAATAAGTATAAGAAGTCAGTGCGATCAGATACGTGCATAATCACTAAACGGAAATAATTTTAAAGACGCAAGAACTTTACTACTAAACTTTTCCAGTAAATTCAGTTTAACAATTTCTCTGAAGGAATGCATGGGTATGTACTGTATAGAAACTTTTTAACCCTCGCTTTGTGCTGTAAGTTGACATTTTCCTTTTGAATTCTTGGAGACGGAGATGGAAATCCTTTGCACATGTATATATAGACTGCAAACCAATTACTGTCACGAGTCGAGGCAGAAACCAAACTTGCCTCCTCCAACTCCTGAACCCGTGTGCGGAGATCTCGGATAGTAACTTCATTCTCGGCTTCCCGCAGGCGGACTTTGACGAGTTCTTGCTGAAGGCACTGAATAAGCTCCTCCTTCTGCTGCAACAGTTCAGTTTTGAGCGATGCTTCTTGAAGTGACGACTCGACTGATGACGAACTCTGGAAAAGCGAGATGTTTGGTATGTAATATGGCGCAAATTGGAATCCTACAAAGACCTGAAGAACAACCTTCACATAAAATTGAATATTGATCCATTGATGAGGAACACATGATCACTGCTGTAACCCCTTCCACAAAAAAAACAACTATTCGTCGAACTTCATGGAATTCGAAAAATAATCTCCTCTGTAGTAAAAATTACTATCTGAAGCAAAAATTATAGAGCTTAGCTGCGCCGTTTTGATCTTTGATCACCACTTTTGATAAAACATGGAAAACCTTTACACAAATCAAAATTTATGGGAATAAGTATGGTTCAACCGTTTCTCAATTTAATTAAAACGTTGAAAGGACGTTTTTTTCGGGATCCAAGTTTATTGAACATTCACAGCACGAAACTGTAGGGTTAGAAAGAGGAAGCTTAAAAACATCTTTTTATTTCATCCAGATTTTTTCAAATACAGTTTTGACTTATTGCACAATCTTCTTCATCCATCAACATTTTTGAACGCAGGATGTATGTAAATCCATCAAAATGCAGAGTTTGGCATAAGTGAACGGTAATCATCATTGATGGGGTGAACTTTCAAAACTCCCTTTTCTTGATTAAGCCGAGCGATGAGACATTTTTTTTAAATGAATGAAGAAATGACCATCCTGCGAATATAATGTTTAGAAAAACCATCCATCAACGACTAGACAATATGGTAAGCCAAATTTGGCAAGACTCACGAATAACCAGCAATGGTCAAAACTCAGAAGTGTTTCGATACATGATCCGGAATTTGGAAAACTTTTTTCTGCAGAGCAGAGCATTGACAAGAAAAAAAAAAGAGGGTCCATAAACAACTGGCATTGAAACGAGTTCTACGCAGACCAGAGAGTCCACAAAGGTTACATTACCGAAAAAGAGCATTCAAAATGACTACCAACGTACATTTAAGCAAAGACAAAATGACGAATAAAAAAAAAAAACAACAGCAACAAAACTCATTGATCAACGCGATTATTGCATTATAAACTCACGTCTTCCATCATCTGACTGAGTTTTCGGATCCGGTCCTTGGACTCTTCCAGTTTCTTCTGTGAGTCCCGATCTCGGGCCTTCATGGCTTCCAACTCCCTCTGAATCTCAAATGTGCTCTCTTCTTCCTGAGCACGTCGAACTTGACCCTGCAGCAACTTTTCTGCCAATTCGCTGGACTCCTTTTCCAGCTGGTCCGCTCGCTGTCTCAACAGTCGATTTTCTTGTCGCAATCGCTGTAAGAAAAATTCAGTCGACGTCATCAACCATTTCAACAATCAAATTGGCACGTAATGAAAGACATACTGAAGTTTTATTGTAGAGAAGCACGGAACGCCGACTAATTCGCACAAAATGACTAATTTCAAATATGCTTATATTTTACGGCAAATTGAAGCGACATCTGCCGTCACACAAAAAATCGTTGTCGAAGGAAGTATAACGACGCAAAACTCATCATATGAGTGGGAAGTTGTATTTTTTGTGCATACATTTTTTGCAGTACTGTACATCCTCATCACTTCATCAGAGTGAATAACTATAAAATTTTAAACGATATTCCCCAGAATACTCTTCAGAAAATTTAAAGAAATTGAAGCTTCATAACCCCTGCTTCAATTGACCGAAAGTTTAAGTAAATTCAGTATGAGGGTGTCAAAAACGGCAAAAGATTTACAGCGAGTTCCTTCCTAACTATTCTAAATTCTTTTAGAATTAAAAAAAATTTGTCAATAGTGCGTCAAAGGTCATTTATTGGAAAAATGAAATATACTGAATAATCAATTTTTGATAATCTGGAGCAAGATGTGAGGTGATGAGCTTCGATAACAAAGCTTCCACTGTTTCCATCAAAATTATTACGTCGCATCATACAATTTTAAAAATTAGACGAACACGCGTTTATACATATTGCGGAGTCATGCGCAGTTAGGAACGTTTTTGACGAGTTAAAGAAAAATCCTTACCCGAAGTTCGACCTGGTCTTCTTGTTCTTTCGTCTTCATTACAGTGTAATCCTTCTCCAGTTTCTTCATCTTCTTTCGATTGTATTGCACCTGGCACGCGAGATGCATCAGTGAATCCGGGTCAGCTTCAAACAGGCCGGGCATTTCCTTTTGAAAGTACTGCGGAAGATAAACACGGATTACAACAGTCGTCAATTAATCTCATTGCCAAGTTTTGGCTCAGACTCTGCGTATCGGGGGGAAAACGAATCCAATAAAAGCTGATGAGTCAGCTCCAACTCTAAAGATTAGGAGGAGGAAAAAAAAAATCCTGGCACTGCTGGAACACTGCGGGAATCGACGCAAAGGAATTTGTACTTTATCTCTACAATTTAAAAGTTTTCGCCAGAATCTCAGACTTGAGTTCTCTATAAGTATACTGTATTCCAGTTTCTGAGCCAGAATCGTCTGAACCCACTGTGGAAGATTCGACTATAATACGAATCGAGACCAGCATTAACGCAGTAAACAATTTTTTCTTCTTCAAATATTCGAGGTCAATAACATTCAGCAGCAGCGACATAAAAATGGCAAGATAATGACGCCTTTCTTCCTTGACGTCTGGGAAGCCGTTATTAAGACAAGTTTCCAATTTAATATTGGAGTATTTTATTTCCCTTGGATAATCTGTGAATTTAAAGACGATGCACATGTTAATTTAGAGGTAAAACTCATTCCTTCTCTGTCACTATAAGTGAACTGTACTTTACTCAAATCTCCGCATTTTGCCCTCTTCAACCCGGAGATTAAAAAAGTTAAAGAGCAGCCAGAAAATGATCAAACAAAAACTGAATCAAAAGTACGTGACATTCAATTCAGCAGTACTCAGAAAGGAAAGCAAAATGGCATGTTAAACGTATACAAACCAGCCCTCGAACACAGGATAGCTTATATAATGCTAAATCCCGATCTTTCGCAAATACTACAAAAGATAAAAGCAAGAATTTTCCTCGGGACTTCCAATTTACCGTCCACGCGGAATAGCATCGATTGCTCTCCTTGCTTCGGCACATACAGTTCTCAACATAAACCATTCTTTCATTGATCACGGAAGACCCAGAAGAGGAACTCGCTATATATAAGGGTCAGATTTTTGGCAAAAAGGAAAAGCGAGGGGGAAGTCTGCTTCAGACTCAGCTCATTCAATTGCATCACACACTGCTGTATATAGACGTCAGCCGAGATTGATTTTGGCGCATCGACGCCGCATCAAGTCCACGGAATGTGCATCCGGGACCGGGAAAGAATAAGAACCCGTCTAAATTGTATAATACAACGTCTGTTCAAATACCCAGGATTTAAAAAATAAAGAAGGAAAAGGAAATAGCTGATTCTTCCCTCTTTCAGATTGATTTCAAAATTGCACTGTTTTTTTTGGCGAAGAAGATTCCTACTGGATTTCAGCATGACTTCATTTCTAAATAATCGGGGCGTCTTAAAAGAGCTTTCGCGAATGCATTTCTATAGTCACGGATAATAAGAAAGCCTTAATCAATCAATGTCAATCTTAATGATATAAATCATGGTTTTACTGATATAAAACATTCGCTGCTAAAACGTTTTGTCGGATGAGTGGAATTATTCCAGTTATTCTTCAGAAGATAATGAGAAAGTCACAGACAAATGAATGATTAGAGCCGTTTTCCAAACAAATTAAAAACGGAATGCTTCTCGATTTTTAGCAGGTTATTCTTCATTGATAAATGAAAATGTCCCTACTTTTTTCAATTGAACGCACACAAGTTTGAATGGAAGAACAATATTTCCATTAGGAAAAAATTCTTGTGGGCGTCACTCATTTCATATGATTCCCGCTGTTATTTTTCAAACAAAAAATAAAAACAGCAGACGTTTAGAACTTCTCTGAACGAAAATTCACAAGACATCTTGTAAACCTCGCAAACCTGAACTTGCAAACGCCGCGTGCTTGGAATAACTTAGAAAATTTCACGGATTCTGCAGAAATCGCGGCATACTCCAGAGATTGATGAAAGTCTCATTGCTTCAGGCGTCACATTAGGAATACGTGTCCCGTGAAATCGAAACGTCGTAACGCTCTCCGAAAGCCAGATTTCGAATGGCAAGATAAAGTTCACGAGCGCGTAATACAGTAGTTATAAACTGGAGAAATGTCACTGTCAAGTGCACTCCTCATGGAACGTTATTCGCAGTCATTGGTCCGAAGACGTGCTTCGTCAATCAAAAAGGACACTATTCAAGCTTAATTTAGTATCATCAAGTCCACAGCATCATTTTGCGCAGCTGCCAAACAAGAGAAACTGTGTCTTCAAGGGTTTACTTGCTTAATTATTTTGTACTTATCCTTCTTACTGAGCTTCCAACGCAAGCATTTGGAGCTTTACTTCAAGGAGCGCAAGCGTATGTTATAAAAGTTGGAGAGATTTTAAATTCACCCGCTAAAATTTGAATGTCTTGCCGACACGGAATCTGCCACTCCCCACCCATTACTTTGCAATTTAGGGCAATTAATGAGCGAAAAACGCATTTTTTGGGATTGCAAATGTCTTTTTCATCCCAAAGTGTTCGTCAGATCTGATGCGTTGTCATTCTAAACATTCATTTTTGCATTTTGAAATACATCGTAGTACTGCATTCGGACAGCCTTCTGTGCAGCACGAAAAATCCAAGTCAATTAGGCGAAAATGATTTCCTCACAAATGCCGAGGTTAATTTAATATTCGCAGTCTTCCATCTACAGTATTATATTTTTTAATCGTTGCGTGAGCAAAATTCAAACCATTTTTAAGGATATTATTACATACAGTATTCCTTCGTAAAAAAATATATACTGTATCACGGTGCGTCCATATCAATCCATCCAATAAAGCTTTAAAGAAGAAAATCACAGGAATGAAAGAAGAAAAACTCATCATTCAACCCTTATAATCTTCGCAGCCGAATCAAGCCTCCGAGTTGCAACAAGCCACACATGATCCGGATCAGTGTTCGAAATTTTCTCATATATTAGCGAATATTCCGAATATTAAAAAAAAATCAATTTCCGAACGTACCTTAAGCATGCCTTCCATGTCGAGCTGAAGCAACGATTCGCGGGAATGCTGAAGAATGGCGATCGCCACGCGAAATATCGTCTCGATGCCTTCCATGAGGAAAACGTCGAATATTCGACAAGCCATAGGCAATGGAAATGCTGTCGCAAAAAGCGTCAGGAACCAAGACGAGGCGTACATCGAGGTGTGAAAGCTCTGCGACTGGAAATGCGTGTGTATCTCCGGAAGTAATTCCTGGAACAACATCAACAAACCAGAAGAAAAAAATTATTTCCCTGTTCAGATTGAGCAGTCGATCGGTGTAGCTCTAATCTGAAAGGAGATCTTTCAAAATTTTAAAAATTTGAACTGTCATTTGAGATTGTAAATCGAACTCGTGTTTCCGCATCCCTATATCAAGTAATTTCTCAGAATGAAGACAGGAAAAAAATCATGATCTGATTTCGAATTTATACAGTGTGCCTGTATTAAATGTTTTTTTTTCTGAGCTCAAGATCAGTATTCATTTGTCAAACTGACAAGGCTTCACCGGTAGTCCAATTTCTTTTAGCATCATTATACAATCATTCGAACTGTCGCCAGTAACAATGTTTTCCTAGTAGCTGAAAAGTTCGTTGAGACCGATTTCAAATTGTAGGAGAGGTTTAATTCCTCAATTTACTGCAGATGCTTGAAAAATGTCAGCTTTTATCATAAATCCATTTCTTTCAAATATTTCGTAAAATACTGGGATAGTCAAGAATATTCGATAAGCTCTCTATACTGAAGTCTATTATAACTTTTTAAGGCGCTCTATTTTTCATCTCTCGTCTAAGACGCAATCTTGCAGTTAAAAAAAAAGAAAATTCAGGAGGAATCGAGTGAAAATAGTAATCTAGGCTCGTGGTGCCTCTATCAATTGAAATTCTCTCGTGGCTGTGATGCGACTTTCAAAATTGTCTAAAAGAGTCAGAGTAGATGACTTTCCGGGAAAACGAGCTTGTGGCTCACAGCAATTTTGATTCATACTCGTTACTACGTCTGACTTCGCGTCTCGAGTGTTCTCATCTCTCACTCAAGGCGTAGAAAGACAGTTTCCGATAGAAAGAGGAAAATCTTACTGCTTAGGCGCGTATTTCATTATATCAACATGATCCGAATTGTCAGAGCTGAAAATTTACCTGAACGATGCACTCGAGCTGATACATGCAAAGGCCGAGCTCGGACATGGACGGCTTGAACATTTCCCGGAGACGATAATCCACCATCAGCTTCACAAAGGTGGCGAAAGCATCTTCCTCAGGCATTTGCTGAAAAGTAGGTTCCGATTAGTCACACGCTTATCTGAAAAAAGAATACCGTATGTCGCAACTCGAATTCCGAATCACGAAAGTACGTGATGGGCTTTCTCAAAAGTCTTGCGAGGCAAACGACTCAAACCTACAAATTTCAAATGGCAGGCGGATGAAATCTGATGATCACTTTTAATGCGCCGTATTTGCATTTAATGAACATTTTAATCCAAAAACAAAAATGAGACTTTAAAATACTATCAAAATAGATTTGAGAAACTTGAAATGCTAGCTTTTCGGGGGCATCCTAAATAACTTGAAAAAAAAAATCATCGCATGCTCCAATGTTTGGGTGATCCTCATTAAAATTTACGATAAAGGGGGTGGGTTTTAAAAATGATTTTGACGAGGTCCTCAATATTTAACAGAAAAAGTTCTCGACTTGAATTTTAACCGTGTAAAACTAGTCTTTTAAGTTACGACCCGTGACTTCGCTCGGTGATGAATGACCGACAGAATAATTTCGTCCGAAAATTTTCAATAACACTTGGAAACAGATGCAATACACGAGGCTTTGTCTCTCAAGACTTTTCTTGATTATTGAAATTTGAAAGACCACCCAGCAGAAAATAATTGATGACTGATGGGGTAACCTTCCAGCAACACACAGAACTGGTACGGATTTTTTAAATTCATGTTGCTCTTAGATGGAATCACTAGATGTATACCCATCATCAAATAATGCCTCACTAAAAATTTGAAAAAAGTTGGTTCATGCTTCATGATATGCAATGACGTTATAAAGTGATTCACGTGACTTTTGAGAAAAGACCGAACGTTTTTGAAATATCTCCCGAGTTGTAAGCCACCCGATATTCATCGGGTCGTGATAAAAGATAACGACGGAACAAAATAAAAAGCCTCGACGCTTTTCCCGATATACGCATCAAAGTGACGCGAAAGGTGACAAGTTTCTGCTTATACACTGCAAAGAAATAGAGACTGCAGATATTTTCTCTCCCCCTCTCTCCTTTGTTATATCCGGAACGATGGCGAAGAATACACTTATTTTCGGTGCTATGGCCGTGGTTCTTTTTTCATCTACGACTTCTGGTGAGTGACATTCATCGCAATCCGAAAATTGTCTTTTTCTGACAGAAAGGAATAAAATTTGATTGAATTCGCAGTGTTTGCCGAAGACCCGAAAGCCACACCTGTCAGATGTTTTGAGTGTGTAACACAACCTACCATCGACCCGAAAACTGGTGCCTACGATTCAACAGCAGCAAACTTTCAATCAGGAGTGGTATCACGAAATGGAGTTCCCAGGGAAGATGAGTTACCCGCGTGTGAACCTTATAACAAGAACAATGAAACACTTATCGAGGGAAACTTTTACGGAAATCTAACAGAGATGGCCACGGGTTACGCGTGCTTCATCGGATTCATAGGGGGTCGCAATGGTGAGTTCAACATGTACTTTTGATTTTTTTTGAATAAAATCAAAAACGAGGGAATGATCCTTCAAATGTGTTGAAAGAAAGACGCGTAGTGTATCTAGTCTTTCCCTGACTATTGTTGTCGTTGATCGCATAGTTATCCAAACCGAAATGTGCAAGAAAAATTGCAGTAATTATGGTCAAGGTCAAAATTTCCTCCTGAAAAAAAGCTACTCTCGTGCATATTTCACGAAGTTTTCAGGGGTTTTACAAAGATGGTTTCAAAACGAAATAAAGAAATTTCGAGACACAAATTTAATATTTAATCAATACTTGGTAAGTATAATAGGCTTTTTTCCGAAAACATAAATCGTTCGCTCCACATGCGGAATTATTACGAATACAATGATTCAATAAAAACGGAATTGTATTTGAAGAGAATTAAAAATTGGCAAAAATTACGACAAACGGAACGGGATGCCTAAGCTCGTGTGAAAAAAATTGTTCTCTAAGGGAGCAGTTTTGGAAATATTCTTTTACTCCGCAAAAATGATTCTGATGTTCCTCGTGTGAATGTTTTGATACTATGTTTCAAGGAAGATGATTGCACTTCAAACGAATGGGGAAAGCCAGGTATTTAATGCTCCTGATGTTTGTTCTCCAATTTTTTCTTTCTTTTTCGAATAGTGTACGGCGCTGATTTGACATTTGACTCA